CGTGGCTCATTGCGGGTCGCAGAGCGTACCATCTGCGCCGGCTCCCCTCCCCATGCACTGCGGAGAATCTTTGCACGGCAATAGCAGCCAGATAATAACAATATTAGTAGAGCCTGGAACCAATATATTGTAGACACATAAAAAAACCCCACCATGTCGGTTGCCTTTGCTTCTGCTCGCCCAAGAGGCAAAGGGGAGGTCACCCAGCAAACTATCCAGAAGGTAAAAAAGCATGCTTTTATACCGACAATTTTAGACATTTATTCCGTCCATGCTCCTGTAGCTGAGGAAGGAAGCTTATTTCTAGGGCGATCAGGAAAACTAGTGAATTTGCGAGGGCTGCAGAGATGGACAGCTGGAGAGAGAGGTGGGGGAAGGAGGAGGAGGAGGAGGAGGTGGAACAAAGCAAAGGTGTTCAGATCACTGCAAAGAGAGCGAGAGAAGGACTCGGGGAATAAAATTGGGATGACACGTTATCTCTGCTGCTCGCAGAAGGGGAAAAAGGTGCTAATGATACATTGGGGAAATCTGCAAATAAAATTTGCAAATATATGATTAATTTCTGATGGTATGTCAGCCTCTGGCCCCAAAAAATCCAACCTAAAAAATGAATTAAAATAAAAAGCCCTGAATTTGCAAGGGATTTCTTTTGTATTTGGATGCACAATTTTAATCTCTCAGAAGACAGAGGGAGCACTGATCACTGGTATTTTTCATATAGTAGTATTATCATTTGCGATGTGTTTATTGATGTTTAATGACAAACAAAGGTTTTGAAAGATTTTCTCTGGAGAGGGCATCTCCAGATGGGTCTCATGTGAAGGCCGGAGCAGAGGGTTCCTAGTTGGGAAGTTATTGTTTCCTATTTCGCAGGATTGACAGCAGGGACTGTGCACACATGCCCGACACCCCTTCCTCCTGCAGAAGGTAACGGTCTGGAAGGAAAAGGCTGGAAATGTCAATAAAGAACATGCATGGTTTTACTTTGACCGCTATTTGTCATTTGTACTTCTACCGTATTTTTTGCGTATTCCCCACCGCGTAGGTATTTTGTTTCTGCGGAGCTGTGTAGTGCGGTGGAAGTGAAGTGTGTGTGTTTTACGTGGTCCATTCATAAGTAGTGACCCATGAAGAGGTGCCATTGCTAGTACAGCAATTAACTGCTCGTCAGTGGAGTTTGCAGCCAAACCGTTATCTGGTGCCAAGTTATGACTTCTAGGGAGAAAAATCTCAGTGGACGACTGTGGCAGGACAGAGATTAAGGCAGAACAAACTGCCACAAGAGAGACTGAAGAGATGACTTGAATCTCAGGAGACTATTTGGAAACTAAGACTATTTTGTGTGGCTCTTGCAGCACATGTGGTATTGTGAATCGATTAATTTTAAATACTAAAATATTTCAGACTCAGTGGAGAAGTTTTTCTCTAACCTCCAGCTTGGTTGGGGTTAGGACAGAATTTCATAATTTAGATAGTTTGTACTTAAAACCATGACTGTATCCACAAAGGGCAGCCAGAGTATCTTCAGTTTGATTTTCAAGCCCTTTCCTTTTTGCATATTCATAGACTTTACGGAAGCTTCAAAATGTTATTTCTTTACCAGTAATGTGTAAAAACATTTCCCATCGCAGGTACATTTGCTGGCATGTTACTTCAGGGCTGCTCATCGGTGTTGGGCTCTTGGCAGTGATTTTCTTTTTGACAAGCGGTGATGCTGAGGAAGAGACCTGCAGGCGCAGTAACCGGGCGGGCTGTATAGTCAAGTGTGGAGATGGGGCAGTGAGAGAAGGAGCAGGTGCTGGGCTCGGAACTCAGAAAATCCTCATTCAAGTGAGCTTTTTAGAACAGATACCAATTTCACTGAAAAACAAGATTCTCTTTTCGTATTCATAATATATAAGCAGCTTAGTTTTATTTATTTATTCAATTTTGGTAGTCTTTCAAAGCTGTTATTATTCCAGTACCAACTATTGCTAAACTAGATTTCACGTGGAGGAAGTTAGAGCTTTTGACAAGAAAGCAGTGATGGCGGTGCTTTAAAATAGTTAATCAAATAGCATTTGCAGGGCAGTAAACTTCAATTTCTTCTGTGTAATGGAGATCAGAACTCAGGTTTTTTTTCCCTAGTAGGTTAGCAAAAGAGCTATTTCCAATTCCTTTTTCAGTGAGCAAAATGTTCTTTAGCTAAGTGTAGAACCATAGCCCTTTTCTGATGGAGATCTCTGTAATATCGCTTGGACTCTTGCTGTTGAATATGTATCTTAACTGAATGTGAAAAAAATTGTGATATCTGCTGTGGAAACTGAAAAGGACGGCTTCTATGATATATAGAATTTTCACTGACAGAGGTGAAAAATCTGTATAATGAGTACAGGGCATGAAACAAAGAGCTGCACCGTGCATCAGGCAGGAGTATTTTCTCTTAAAATTATATGCTGCACCCAGGTTGCCATGTGAGCATAGGCATGCATGCAGGAGGAACATGGATTCTTGACTGACACAGTTCTGGCATCCCCTGTCAGCATTCGAGCGAGCAGCCTGCTGACCTGCCGCGGCAGGCCACAGCGATGCCTCTGTTCCTCAGAGCCTCGCTGACTTGAGCTACAGGGGATCACCACAAGTTCCAGCAGCCAGAGCCTGTGAGGGACAAGGTTGTCCAGCAAAGTTAAGACCAACTTGCAAATTACAAGAAAGAAGCAGGACAAGCTGAGTTCTCTAAGGGAGAGACCAGACTGCAGGTGCTTTAGAAAGACTCTTCTGCTCATTCTCCTATAATCTGGCCCTTTGCATCTGAATGGGTCAAGAATTTTTTTCCGATCACAACACATACCTACACAGATTAATTCACATTTAAGTCATACAAAAAAATGTTATTCTTTCCTCAAGAGTTCTTCTGTCTTGATGACACAGTGGTTGAAAAGCCCAACCTTGCAAGCACTTAATAGCAGTGGTACCTACAAATTGTGTTACATAGTGAGTTTTTGCCAGAGGCAAATCTAAATTTGTAAATATTGTTGTTATTTTTACATTTGTTCACCTGCAGAAAGCTTGCCGCATTCACAAGAAAGCTGGGGGAAAGAGACAAGCTATTGTATTTGAAATTTTTAAAACAAAGCAAAGGATATTTTAAACTTTTAATTGTATTATCAGTTCATTAAATAAAGGTCAGTGGTCATTTTGTCCAGCAACCCTGATTTTCTTGGAACAAGTCAGTCACTAGAATTTATTGAATGAAGCTAAGTTAGCACCACTGATACACATAAATTAACTGATGTATAATTATTCTGTGTTCATTTTAAGTCCTCCCTGTATTAGAACATCTTGGGATGTAATTCTCTTAAATGTGGTTTCAGTAGATCCAGTAATGCAAATTTTATACTTCATCAAGCTCAGTAGTCTGCACACGCTAGTCCCATGCAGGAAAACTAGTAGGTTTAAATTGCTTGAAAGTATATTTCATATTTGAAAGTAGGCATGTAAGTAAAATCTGAAGTCTTGGAAAGGGTTGGGTGATGTTTCAGAGTGAGGCAGAGGTGTTTTCCTTCTTCAGCATAAAAATCTACCTGCCATTTAAGGAGCAAAAAAGGTAAGTCCGTTAATTCTTCTGTGTTGAGTATTTCAACTAACTACTTTTAAAATAACTGTTCATAAATGCATGATGTGAAGAGCACAATCTTGTGGCTCAATAAAGTCACATGTAGGTACTTTGGAATATCCCAAGGCAACAAAACAGCACAAAACACCATCCGCTACCAAGAAGGGTGAATGTGGCATATCACAAAAACACGGGACTTTAACATGTTTCTTGTAGTAACGTGTTTTGATTGCATTTCTTTTATGCAGATGCTAGATGAGAATCACCATCTAATACAATGTATTATGGATTATCAGAGCAAGGGGAAAACTGCAGAATGTACTCAGTGAGTATTATGAGTTTTGGAGTACATTAGAAATTTTTGGTGTACTTTTTCTCAAGAACACTACTATGAACAGTTCTGTTCACTGATCACTGAGAAAATACTTGGACTATCTTTTTTTAGATTCACTTGTATTAAGATATGTATTTTTCCAATGCATTTGAGTATTTACAATATTTCTAACAGATCATTTATTACAATAATTATAAACAATTATGGTTAATGGACTACTTATTCTATGCAAATTCATTAAACAGTAGAATCAGGTACAAAGTTAATAACACATTTTCATCAGAAAGTAATTAGATGTTAAGGATCGGCAATGTGGTTATCTATGGCTAAAATGACATACCAGTTTATGTCACTGCTTACTGTTCCTAATCTTGAAAGCAAAATGCTTTTATAAACTTTATGGGTTAAATCTCAGTCAGGAAGAATAGCCCATCTGCCCCATGAAAGGTCAAGTTCTGGGGCCAAATGCAGAAAAAAAAAAGTCTAAAAAAGTTACCTTTGCTAAAGAAGTCATGCCACTATTCTGGCTTCATTTTTTTGCCACTTTCCCCATTTCCCACCCATTTTTCCCTTATCAGAAGAAACTCATGCTAAAAAAGCATTTTCTCTTCCCTTCTTGGAACCCTCTCTGTTTCCAAAAGTTTGACTCTTCACTTTGTTCAGTGGCACAGCTGTTAGTTTGCTTTTGGATGCCCTCCTGTTCTTTATTACAAGCTTTTCCAGTTCATCGAGAACTGTGAAGAAGTGTAAATGGTCCTGGTGGTGCTTACTTGAGTAAACACTCCAGTCAGAGCACCCTTGAAAAAAAATCTTGCTCTTCTCAACTTGTTGGCAGGGCAAACAGCCTTTGGTTTTTGGAGTTCTGGAATTTCATTAATACAGGACCCTTGTTATACAGAGGAAGAAAAAGTGGTTAATTGTTAGAGCAGCTGACTGGGTGTCAGTGCTCAAAGACTGAGGTCCCAGCTTCACAGTTCACTCAAAGTGCTTTCAGAGGAGAATGTATTTTACTTCTCTCTTCCCCCAAGTTTACCCATTTGTAAAAGAGGTGTTGAACATACTGATCCTTGGTGAAAGGCATGACAGCATAGATATAGGTCATTACTATTTATTATGACAGATGAAAAGTGGGCTAATGTAATTTAACTAATCATTTGTAAATAGGAAAAAAAAAAGAAAAAGAGAAAGGTTTGGAATTTTCTGTATTGTTAGCCCTTTCCAAATAAGCTTTACTCCTTATTCTGTAGATACCAACAAATCTTGCACAGAAACCTGGTTTACCTGGCAACAATAGCAGATTCTAACCAGAATATGCAGTCCTTGCTTCCTGCTGTAAGTACCAGTGCTACCATCAGATACATTTACTATGCCAGAGCGAAATGTTCTTTGATTCTGTTACTGATCACTGTCAATAAACCATTTTTTAGTATTTCTCTAGTTAAAGTTTTGAAGTGGTCAAGTATGCCACTAAACAGTTCAAAAGCTACTTTTACTGTGTTTAAAACATTCTTTTGGACATTTGTGTTAATCTCTGTCTCTGTAGCTCAAGGTCTATATACTCTAAATGGTGCAGTGGTACAGATCCGAACAGGCTCCATTTGTTCCAGATTCATTATTGTTTACCTATTCTTCCTGTATTCTTTACTCAGGAAAAAAATGCCACTATTTTGTATCAGAAATCTAATTCAGCATTTGGGCATTGGTTTGTCTTTAAGCATTGTGTTGTTATTCTTAAATGGATTGATTTTGGAGGTATTGCACATAACACAAAATACAGCATAGCTTTATGCCTGACAAAGGTCTGTTTGTTAACACACTTCTGTATCGTCTTTGCTAATGCATATCCCCTCAGCAGTTATGTTCTGACCAGCACAAAATGAAATTCATGTAAATACAGAAGAGTGGGCACAGAAGCCAGCCTCTATAAGAACAATTTTAAGATCTTCACTGTGCTGCCTGCCAGCTTCTCTGTATCACACTGAATGTCATTCACACATAGTAGTCAAATGAAGAAAGGTTTACGCAAGCAAGCCCAAAAAGTGAAGGAAGCACATATTTAGCTGAGGCAGTTTTTAGTCATAGTCAGGCTAATTTGGGGGTTATTATTTTTCTAATTAAAACCTAACTGAAAATTTGCTTCTCCTCCTTGTTATTTGCAGCCACCAACGCAAAACATAAACTTGGGCCCAGGAGGAATGACTCAGAGTGCATCCAACCAATCTCTCCATTCACAGAGCAATCTCAGCGATGCAATTGGGACGGGCCTTCCTCCTTCCTCCCTCATGCAGAGTCAGATTAGCAATGGTGAGCTTCGGTCCCCTTTGTGCTGCTTTGCTGTTGCTTGGCAACAAAATCATTAATGCAGAATATACTTACAGAGCTGTAAAAGACCTCTCCTAACTCACCTTTCAGGCATATGGGGATTTCAGGCACATGCTGAAATCATCACAAAATGGCTACAGTCAGTAATGATGTTGGCTTCTGCACGGACTCCAAGCTGCTTAGTGTTTCTGTGGGGGAAATGAAAAATAGTTTTTAAAAAATGTGTCATGAAAATCACAAAGTAAAGATGCATCCAAGTTTTTAGTAAGAAAAAAATATATATTGTGGTATTTTTTTCTTGATAGTGGTGGGGTTGGCCAGGGTAAAATGGAATTGCTTGCATGACTAACCGCACAACCAAGGCTTTAGATTGCAAAGACCTTCCAGAATACATGCCTTCTTAAAAATAATTTGGTGTTACATTAGTCTTTGTCCTCTGCAGAAGCTTGCAGAGATTGTACTACATAGACAAAGAGTTTGCACAGACATTTCGTATGAATGAGATAATATACTTTGTCTATTTGTTTCTGTTGTTCATGCAACTAAAAAGAAACAAATTGAAAGACAAACATTTCTTTTTTACAGTATGAATAATCTGTTTATTTATTTTGTAGTTCATAGTTATTTAGTCAGTTTCTTGTTTCTGTGGGTCTTTCCCAGAGTGTGAGAGAGACAAAACAGTTTCTATAAATAGAAATATCAGATTGTAAAATCACAGACCTCGGCAGAGGGATTCAAGAGCAGATACAAGCCATGAAATTACTTCTGACTTTTTAAAAATCCATTTGTGGTCAAGCTGATAGTACCTTTTAAACTAGTGGATGAGGTACCTACTTTAAACAGTTACAGCTTTTGAAGTGAACTTATTAAATTTATCTAGGCCTTCTTTTTGAAAGATTTATTACCTAGTATAAGTATTATAATAAGTCAGTCAAAACATTGGGTTTTGTTACTAAGAATCTATATTTTTAGTGTTATTGTTGCTGTTTTTTCTTATTTGCCTCCCACCCTCCAGTTCTTTATAGTAATTTAGTGCTGACTGGAAGAACTAGACTGCCAGTCCTGAAGACTTGTCACCTGCAGAACAGAAGCAGCCAGGGCAGTTAAGCTCACGTTGCAGGTTTACTTCACACTGCCCCAACCCAGTACTAAAACCCAGCCTGAGTTGTGGGGGTCTCAGGGTAGTTCACGCTCTGCCCCGTCACCTGGATAGTGCCCGGTATTTTATCATGAAAATACTATTCCACTGGACGACAGACTGAGGTGATAGCTACACTTCAAAATGAAGGAGTGACTGAGAAGGCAGTAGCTTGCCTCTTCTGAGTAGCCTAGGTAAGAACAGCAGTGATGACACGTGCTCTGCTGCTCATGCCTGCTGTGAGAATAGGACTCTCACACCCTTGGGCTTGGGAACACCCCCCTTGGTTGCCAGCCTCTACTGCTACTGTCTCTGTGCCAGCTAGAATCGAATTAGCACAATGATGCTATATGACACAGCAGTCCTGATGTGTAGATAGACTTTGAGATGGAGAAATTATTTTACATCAGTCAGCAATTCTTGGACAGTGTTTTTTGGAAATTAGGAGTAAATATACACAAACAATTCAAATATATGGGACCCAGTACTTGTGAAAATTTCTCATCTAATGGCAATAGAGATGAAAGTCTGTAATGAACAGGTACAGCATTGTAAGAGAGGGAAGAACAGGGAAGAAGACATAGAAGCTACTACATTTTATTCATTGTTGTCCTCAGTCAGGACTTTACAGGAATCACCTCTGCAGGACAGTAACTAGGTAATTCCCTATGTACATGGAGCTACGTCAATTCTAACAATAATTCTGTTGATGGGGACAAGTTAAAAACCAACCCACTGAGATTTCAAGTAATCCACCATCCACAAGTCAGTGATTCTTCATGCCGTAGCCCTGCAGACAAACCCATTAGATTCAATAAACCAACCAGTGAAACTCAGCTGCCTCTGGACAGAATTGGGCCCAACTGAGAATTTTAACTGTTCAGAAATCATGGATGATGCCTTTCAAAGAAAAACCCAACTGACTTAGATTCATGAAAGTATAAAAGAGGTTCAATGCTTTGTATTTATCTTATTGGTTTAGTGTTTTTATTTAAACACTTTTGGTCATGTTTTCATATTTTCCCTTACAATCACAAATTAGCCAAACCTTTTTTCTTTTAAGGCGACGAGGTTTCTCTAAGTTTTCCCATGCAAATAGGGCAAGGTTTACCAACACTTGCTTCACTCCACCTCTCACTAGCTCCATTCAAACACCATGTGGTCTTGTGTTGCACAAGTACAAGTACCAGCTTTCAAGACACACAAAACTGTAGCAAAACACAGGGCTAGGTCTCTGTAGTGGTATATTGACCTGGCTCTGCTGATTTCAGTAGAGCTGGCTGTCTTTTGAAAATGCTGCTTGTATCTCTCCATTAGATGAAAATATAATAATCTACACTGATTTTTCTCGCTTTGATGTCTATAAATACCATTAAGAGTAATTAATGAATTTTGTACTAAGACAATTAGACTCATTTTTCAGAGGCTGTAGACACACTTAATAACTGTGAATTGAAATATTGTTATCTAAACATTACAACATAATTCTGTCTCTTCTAGGGATTCTGCATGTCTTCCATTCTACCTAAATTAATTTAGATTGACAATAATACAGCTGAATTTAGATAGACAACAATATACACTATCCCAGTTTAGATAGTAACAATACACAATGAAAACAACTTTCCAAAACTCATTCATAAAAGTATTTCCAGCAACAAACAACAAAAAATAAGGACCAGATTCTCCCCAATTGTAAAAAATAAGCATTCTGCCAGGTATGCAGGATGATACAAACCCAGGCTATAATTGGAGCAGTCTGATAATTACATACAGTGATGTTGGAAAGGGAGTACTGTAATGACCGGGATTATTCTGGTGACTTGGAAAATTTATCTTCTGAAAGTCTGAGGTACTTCCAGTCAAACTTCAGGAAATGGAGAGAGAGGCCTGTCCTCTGAGGAGAGGGAGGGTCCCTTGGTACATCCTAAGCCCCAGCTAAGAAGGTTAGTTGGTTATGAAGGAACCGAATGGATGCAGCAACGTGCAAAGTGTTTCTGAGCCACTCCTGTGCCTTCCCATTGTCACCATCTGTGTGAAGGGGGAAAAGGAGTCAACAGCAGGACAGGAGGAAGGAAAGGACAAATTTCAGAAGGCTGGGATGTTTATGTTCCAGAGTCCATGTATTTTCTGAAGCATCTGAAATTACTGGCATTTGTTAATTCTGCTGCCTGCGAGGAACTGGTTGTGGGTCATTGCTGCTGGTTTTGTTCTTCCTGTCTGCAATTCTGTACAACCTGGATTTGGCTGCCAGGAAGATGAGGATCACTCTTAACTGTGCAGTAGGCAGTTTTAATTTGTCTGTAGATAACAGGGAATTTTAATAATGAGGATTTTTTTTGTTTTGTTTTGCCTTATCGTAAGGTATTTTAGAAAGGCCGCGAGGGCTTTAATGCTCACTGTACGTTGCCAATAATAGCACAGATTTTCTTGTTGCTCTCTTTAATTTTTCTAGGTCCTAATCACGTGTCTATGCAGCAGTCAGGCCAGAACACTATGCCCACAACCTCTCTGAGTATGACTGTCAGCAGTCATGGAACTGGGCCTGGTTATAGCCATACAGTGCCTGCATCTCAGAATGTGCCAATGCAAGGCCAGGGGTCAATAGGCAATTATGTCTCTCGAACAAACATCAACATGCAGTCTAATCCAGGTAAACTCCCTCTTCCTCCTTCTGGGCCAACGTGACTTTTCAGTGACCTCAGAGGTTTACCACACATGAATTTGTTCTGTAAATATTATCTGTAGACAGCAACAAACATACCAGAGGAAAAGACAGCTTTAAGACATCTCTGAATTTCAAAGTATCAAGCACCAGTGTAAGTCAGGACAGTTCCAGACTTGCTTTAACTTGCTATGGTTAGCAGTGAGTTGGGAAAAAGAGGGCTAGCTAAAAGTGCAGCAGCACTGTCTGATAGCCCCTGGCAGCAAATCCCACAACTGTGGGAGGGATCTGAGAAGCACCTTTATCCTAGCTGAAAGAGCCTGCCAAAGAGCGTTACACATTTACTGCTTGTACATTACTACCCAATTTTTGTTATTTTATTGATACTTCACACTGCTTGCAGGGCATAGAGAGACTAGCAGACAACTCAGAATTAATCTCTTAATTTGTAAAAAATGTTTGCTACTGAGTATTGAATGGGATGTCCAATGCTTAAGAATTCTTTCTGACAATACAAAATTTAGGGATCAAAGGAATCCTAGAATGCTGTTTTATTTAAACTGTATAATCATCAGGAATATAAGAAGATGGAAGTAGAAGAAAGAATGTATTAGAAAAGAAATGCAGCAATGAATTAGTCAGGAGGTAGTGAGGAACAAGCATCAGTTCTTATTTCTTTCTTTAATCCTACTGTAATAATGATTACATTCTTTTAAATAATAATAATCAAGGCTAGATGCATTTTTAAATGTCTGACTAAAGCAAATGGCAAGAACTGACCATGTAATAACTTCCTTTCTGGATTTCAGTGCAGAAGAGTTAAATACATGCAGTAGGAAAACATCTCCCCCTGTGGAAAATTCACAGAATTATCAGGATGCATGGTAGTTGAAGGTTTTAACTTGCTTCCAAAGAGACTAGGGAGAGAACTGTCACATCCTTTTAGAAAACAGTATTTTCCATGTACATTGTAGTCTCCATGATGCACCAGCAAGCAGCAACATCACATTACAACTCGGCACAAGGAGGGAGCCAGCATTACCAGGGGCAATCCTCCATTGCCATGATGAGTCAGAGCAATCAAGGCAACAGCATGATGGGTCAGCGACCAATGGGCCCTTACAGAGCTTCACAACAAGGTAAAATCTATTATTAGACTATTGATATAATTATTATTAGATTGATGATATGCAGTCCATCCTGTGGGGTAGGAAAGCCAACAAAATTTCCAAGTCACATTTATAAACAGGGAATCCCATCTGGGAACACAGGAAGTCTTGAATGGTGGAAGTATCATGACAATCAGATGAACTTTAATCTATTTTCAAGATTTATCTATTTAATTATTTCAGGTGTTTATAAAAATAATTCTGTCTAAAAGGGATCATATATCTCTAAAGAAAAGATGAACAATTTGATATGCAGCTCACTCAAGCCACTGGGAATCTTTTCAGTTCTTTCAAATGGTATTGGATCAGCCGTAACATGGCACAGTTAACAAGGAACACATTTCTGCAAAGAAGATATAGTTTGCCAGCAATTAGTACGAAAAATTAGGCCAAGGAAAGGAAAACACCAGAGGATAACTACCATGCTCTAAGACCTCTCTGGGAAAAGTTCTAAGAGGTAATAAAGCTGCTAGACTGATTCTAACATAAACGGAATTTTGCTAAGAAACAAATTAATACATTAATTAAAATATATTTAATTCTGTCTGTGTTCTTGAGCATGGAATACATTCCTGTGCTTCCTAATAACTCAGTTTAGTAGATGAAATGTAGCAATTACTTTCGGTATTGCTACAGAAGTGAGTGGGTTTAGGGCATGTTGCTGACCATTGTGTAATTAAGTTTCAACCAGCTTTTTCTGAGAATACAAATTTATTTCCTTTTTCTTGTGAGCAAAACATCTTTGAAACTGCTCTCAACATACATACATAGCTTGTTTACTTACCCAGATGTAAACACTGTTTTCTTAAAAAAAGAAAAAAAAAAAAAAGAAAAAAAAAAGAAAAAAGAAAGAAAAAAGAGATTAAAAAAAAAAAAAAAAAAAAAAGAAAAAAAAAAGAAAAAAGAAAGAAAAAAGAGAAAAAAAGAAAAAAAGAAAAAAGATTAAAAAAAAGAAGAAAAAAGACATAAACATCCCTTAGGAGTCCATGGGCTCAGTTTGCTCCCTCTTGTCTTTGCCTTGCAGGTTCCTCACAGCAGTACATGGGTCAGGAAGAATATTACAGTGAACAGTACAGTCATGGACAAGGCTCCTCAGAACCTATGAATCAGCAATATTATCCAGATGGTAATTCCTCTGAGCTGTAGTCACTGTAATACTGATAAAGTGTAGACCAGCATGACTGCCACATTCAAGGACAGGGCAAACCCATTACGATTCATTTCCAATTTAAATGCTAGAAAATTCTAATCCCGGGGCATGGGAGTCTGGTACACAAACATACGCATCAGTGCACCCTGCTATCCAAACTGCTTCAAAAAGAGCCCAAAGCTAAGTTTGGATTAGTAAATGCAAAAGATTTATCCATAGATGTGGCTTTCCTTGCCGTGTGTTCAACCTCCTATCTAAGGGGTCTGTATTTTCTGTTGGCCTCATCTTTGGGCATAAGCAGCTTCATAATATATGTATTCAACAATATATCTCAAGTTATATTAACAATGTATCTGATAAATCTTTGCAATTCCTTGTAGGACATGGTGATTATGCCTATCAGCAGTCATCCTATACTGAGCAGAGCTATGACAGGTCATTTGATGATTCTACACAACACTATTATGAAGGAGGTAGGAAAATATATTGGCAATCTTTGTAAAGCAAAGCTCTAAACTCCTAAAATACTAATGAAATGCTTATGAAAATGTAAAATATGCCTTGCAATTTCTGCATCACTAACTGCTACTTAGCTATTAGTCAAGGAGTGTTCAAGAAATAGAATTTAGCTATATATAGCATTTTTTTACCAAGACTGTATCAGACTGTATACACAGTATCATGTCAGTAACTGTATTGCACGGCAGTCATGCTGTGCAGCCTTGTGGGATCACTAACAACTTGTGTGTAGCCTCATACTCATTAGAAAAATGATCCTCGGTTGTAGCTGAGCCAGGTAGAATTATTGCTATGGATATTGAACTTTTTTTTGCACTGAGATAAAAGACTTCCAGGATATCAGTATCCTCCACTCTTACAAAATGGTTTAACAAACATTTTATATAATGCAAATAAAAATGGCTGTATTAAACGAAAAGGTTATGCTGACAAAGGTAAACTAACTGCTGCAGTTAGAAATGGGGGTCAGAGCTGGAAAAAAATGGCAGCCATAAACAGAAATTTCTCTAAAGTAAGAAACCCTACTAATTAATTCCAGGACCAACTTTTTTTAAATCTTACTTAATTCACCTTACAAATTGTGAAAAACAATAGGTTAAATGAAACTAATCTTTGAAAATCACCAATACGACGAGTTTGCAATTCTACCATTAAAAAACTCTCAACAGTAGTATGTCAGCAAATTCAGTGATACTATTAAGGTATCTGAACTCTAAATTAATTGCAAAATATTAACTTAATTATGATACAGCGAGGTGGCATTTAGGAAAAGCAATGTCATCTGTATAGTCTCTGTTCATTTTGTTGTTTCAAGATACTGCAAATAGAATTTCCATCACAGGTATTTAAAAAATATACCAGTAACAACTAAATAAGTGGTCTTTCTGGGTTATATGAATAAACATCATTATCGGGAAGAAGATACAGTGGGAGGGCTTCTTAAGAAACTGGGTATTTACCCTGGCACCCTTATCTTTGTGACTCCGTGTTTTTCTTCTGACACTTCTGGGGTAAAAAAATCCTTTGGGGAATCCCTTGTTTGTTTGTTTGTTTAACAATATATAAATAAACAACTCTCTCCTGTTCAAAAGAACTAAAACTCACTGAAGAAATAAACATCCCGATTGGCAAAATGCAATCATCTGTTTCTGAAAAGAGCATTTGTCTATGAGTTCCAGACCAAGACTCATTATGCCTTTGTTTTCCTTGTGATTCGCATGTACAGTGAAATACCTGCCTCATCTATAACCAAACTATTTCAATTTTTCCCCCCTTAGGAAATTCTCAGTACAGCCAGCAGCAGGCAGGATACCAACAGGGAGCTGCACAACAGCAAACGTATTCCCAGCAGCAATACCCAAATCAACAAAGTTACCCAGGACAACAGCAAGGATATGGTAAGAAAACTGTCACTGACCGGTCAAGTGTTTGCACTACTTCATCCTTACGCCTCCATTCCTAAACTAAAATATGCCGTAAACTATTTCCTTGATTAACCTTGGACATCCACATACCAAAACTAGCCAAAGAGCATAGCATGTAAAGGGATTCTGCGCAGTAACATACATTAGTACAGCACTGCATTGCATACTGTTATGTTAGCATCCTGAATCTCTCCCTCTTTTGAAAGAAAGTTAGAAAGTTAGAAAATACACTTTTGCCTCATGTTGACTTCCCAGTAAGTGTTGGTAAGAGGTCACTGCCTGGATTCCCAGGCCTCCTACACATCTAAAAGTTCTACAGCTGACATGAAAAAATAACATCAACAGTCCAGAGAATCACTACTCCCTCACTTAGATTTCTTGCAGCATCACAGTTGTTTTATTCCTTAGTGAGGGACTGAGGTGAAAGGAAAAAAAGTGGAAATGCTTTGAACAGGCAGCTAACACTGGCGCGAGGCTTTCCAACCCTTCAGGTCACCAGTGCAGATCTCCCCACTGGCATCAAAAGAATCCAAGTTTGATGGCTGTCATTGAGTTTTCTGACCAACTGGAGGCAGCTTGTACATATCCTCAGCCTTTGGGAGAAAGAAACCATTTCAGGTTATTTAGGACAAAAACAGGGGCCGGAGAGATTGGGATAATCTCTAAATCCTAGCTTCAAGGCAAGGGATTTCTGGTGCATCTCCCAAATGTGATGGTACTTGACCTTGAACTGGCAATGTTAACCAAACTTGATAAATTGATGTTGATATAATCTGCAAATCCATTTTAGAAATGTAAGATGTCATTAAATAGAACCTATATGCTTAAAAAGTTAATTAAATTATTAATACCTGACTCTACAGTACTAGTAGTAGTCTGGACTATTCAAGCCAGGCATATTCTGTGAAATCAAACCCAAAATTCAGTTTATGATGTTAAAATCTGGCCTTCTCTTTTTAAAGGGTCTTCTTCATAAAAATCCACCAATAATGCTAAAAAGTAAGTGCACATATCAGTCTATACACAGAATATACAGTCCCAAATAAAAGGAAAACAGTATCACTGTGCAGTTGTGTCTGATTTACAGGTTTTTAAAGGTATCTCTATATGCAAGAGATTTCTTATGTTCTGTATGGTCAGCAGTGCTTATGGTGGCACAGCCAGATTAAATAGGAAGTTAAATGTGCAATTGTTACTAAAATAACAGCCAGGTAGCTTGCACAGAGCTAATAATTGAGCTATGCCAGTACAGATTTCAGAGAGGCAAATCACTTAAAAGTATATCACAATTTCTGAAACTTGAAGTTTACACTGTTGCAACTAGATCATTATTAGTATTAACACTTTCTAGCTTAAAGCTAGAGGGGATGTCTAGGCAAAATTTGCTCACAGTTCATACTCGGAGAGCTTACTTTGTTACTGTCATGTTTTATATTGTCTTAACCCTAAGAACGCCCCCTAGTAAATCTAACTTTACTAATATATGTCACTGTCTTCTCAGGTCCTGCACAAGGAGCTTCTTCACAGTATTCCAGCTACCAACAGGGACAGGGGCAGCAATATGGAAGTTACAGAGCTTCTCAGACAGGCCCATCCGCTCAGCAACAGAGGCCTTACGGCTACGAGCAGGTAAATTGTCTAAATCTCTGCTATGAAAAAGCAGATTTAGCTGTTTACTCAGCATATAAATCTAGCTAATAATTTGGTGCAGGCATATTGGTGATACTTCAATGGGTCTTTCACAGACCAAAAGAAATTGTCTAACTCACTGTTTGTAAACCTCTGATACATTATTCTCCAACATTTTTATTTCTCTTTTTTATAGGGACAATATGGAAATTACCAGCAATAAAAGAATACAATCCTGTATCAGATTCATTTCAATAGTATCTCCATCTTTTGAACTGGATGTACAGGCAGTTTTGATTAATTGTAATATGTTGGTTACCCCTTAGCACAAAGCAGCGTCTGTATGTGAACAGTATTCATTTCATGCTGGATATGAAGCAGTGCACTACTGGTAACAAGACAATGCTTTAATGGTTTGATATTTGGTGCTGTGTATAGTACTGTATGTTGATACAATGCAGAAGTTTTTCATTTACCCCCTTTGCCCCATTCTTGATGTTTCTAAATAGCTTTAGGATCATTTGATCACAGTTGTGCCCCATTCTGGAAAACAGCCAGGTTACTCTGCAGTCTGGCTCAATACAAAGCCATTCAGTCATATTTCAGTCCAGGGAGGTATCCTGTGTTAGGTTATTGATCTTTTTTTAACTGAATGCATTGAAGATTACCTGCCAGCCTCTGAAATCCATGGCTCTTAACTTTACTTCTTAAGAATAAGGGGATTGATACATTCCTTATGTGAAGACAGTTCTATGCTATATGATAAAAATAAAATTAACTGCAACTTCTGTAATACCTACCTACCCACGTCTTAGAATTCAGTAATCTGCATAAGTCCACATTTCTGTTATAAAAGATATAGAAAGAGGATCAAAACCTATATGCAAGGAAATGTTAATCACTAGAGGCACCTTTTATAGATCCACATAAACTAAGGTATTTCTATCGTGGAAAGAAAAATACAAGGGAGCTCTCAGATCTGCAGTGTCAGCCTACTAGACATCAGTATTGCTTCATATTGTGCTTAGCTGAGAAAAACATCTGGCAAAACTCCAGTCTTAAATGTGCTACTCCAAATTTTATAACTTGCATATAAATTTTAAAGCCAAATTTCACAAGCAGGTGGCTGGCATCCCTCTTTATTTCTGATTCTTCCATTGCCCTTGCTCCGATTTTCCAGCAAGCATTATAACCATAAATGTTGTCAGATCTTTTGGTCAGCTGTTCTTACAGCTCATCATCACTTTTATTTTTCTCTTGTAGCTTGACAGAAATAGTTCAGAAGTAAAAGAAAAAAAAATCCATCTTTATTGCAGATAAGTAAGAAAATTCAGCTTTAATTGTGAAACAATATTACGCCTATAGAGAGGGGAACTATTAATGGGGTCAACCAGTGAGAGAATACCTATAGAAGGAGAATTTAGAAATAAAAACTAGTGGTATGTAAAAGCCGGTATGAACAATGTAAGTCACTTCTATTCATTTTTATATGTTCTTATAAAGTGTTGAAAAAAGCACTTATAAAGTGTTGAACGAAATACCATGTCCAAACTTCTCTGAGGCAAAAGGCTAAGATGACTATACCCCAGGAGCATTTTTAATACGAGATTAATTGCAAATTTACAATATAGAGTAAATACACCCTCTGTACGATTTTCTCCTTTTCTTTGTCAGAAATGGTGTATTTATGGGATTTCAAGTTCTAGTAGTTTATATTTTATAATATAAACTCCAAGACCACAAGGAAAAGAAAAGATCTCTCAATTCATTATTTTTTTTTTTTCCTGTAGAGGAAAGTCTTTAACTGGACAGCTGAAGAGTTTACTATTAAATGTTGTCCAAGCACTGCCCTTGCTATGTGAATAATTTCAGTTACTGAAAAAATAGAAGAGATTTTTTTTAGTCAGTCCTCATTTCTCTCATCTTTCCTGCTGGTGTTTTCATACAAGTCAGTACTCTCAAATAGCAAGGAACAGAAAGGAAGGAAGATTGTTTTCTTTACAATATATTAATATTACAGGTAGCCAGAAGAATGCAATATTGCTTGTTGCCAGCTTGGAAATATGCCTTTTATGTGGTTTTTTGAAAGTGCTGAAATATTTTTGAGAGAATATGAACAACACTTAAAATGAAACAGCAACATTACATCAATCTGAAATGTCTTACATTAAGAACTTCTTGAATGTTGTGTATATAATGTATTTGAAAGAGCACTTTGGAAATAGTTTGTACATTTATTTCCTAATTTATACATGATTTTTGGTGTTAATATTTCTAATTGTTAATAACAAAATGTTTATTTAATGTGTTGTCCATTTTTATGTATTAATGTGCAAACAAAGTGATGCCAGCATTTTGACTTCTTCCATTAATTGTATCATCTTCTGTTTTGTAATACAGAATGCTTGAAAACTGTTTAGGTTAAAAATTACCTGAAAATGAAGTTGGTGGTACTCTTCTTACGGCACAAACTTTTGAATGGAAACAACCAGTAAGGGGGCATGCCTTTGCGTCGCACCTTCTCCCCTACTTCTCTGATACGCTTCATAGATAATTCTGTTTGACAGAAGCTTGTCCCGGCTTTCAAATTGAGATACAAAGATCAAACACCCTGTGTGCGCAGGGTGGTTGCACGTAATGAACAGCTCACCTCAGAGGTAGCGCGGAGCGGGGGAAACGTGCCAGGCTGACTGATGGCGCAGGAGGACTCCTCCAGGGCCGAGACACGGCGGGGCAGC